AAATCTCTTTCATTAAACATCAGAAAACGAGTATTGAAAAGTTATATCGAAAATATTCTGTTGTTTGGTAGTGAATATTGGAATGAGATCAAAAAAATTAAGAAGAGATTGGAGGCAACTGAGATGTTGTTCCTAAGAAGAAAGTTGAGAATACCTACGACTGCCAGAATAACTAACAATGATTGCCTGGAAATGGCTAAAGAAATTAGAACATTATATGCAACAATGAGAAGCAGACAAAGTTCTCTGGTCATGTAATGAGAAAAAGAGAAGTGCAAAATGTCGTGACGACTGGCAGACCAAGAGAAAAGAGGATGGATGGCTTAAGACAGTGGCATGGAGGAATATCATCAGTAGAATTGATCCAGAACACAAAAGACTAAGATCTGCAGCGACACATAAACGTCTACGGCCGCTGGCAAGGCCCTTGAGATGATGATGATGATGATGATGATATGTTTCGACAATGCCTAGCGTGGTTTGTCTTGTGGACTTCCGATTAAGAATATACCTATTGGCTTGTTGCCGGAGAACGTGGGGTGCCTTATGCGACTATCTGTTTGTGCAACCACTGATCTATTTCAACTGCTGCTTCCGTCGACGATGGATTACATTTCTAGTCTGTGTTGGCACCTCTGGTAGCTGCCTACGCATTTGGTATGCGTGATTGCTACTGACATTGTTGAGACTGCAGTCTTGTCATTTGTTTTTCTTAAGCGACAGTGATAGACATTTCACGTGTTTGTCTATGGCACAGGAATGAAGCAACCATGGTGTGATCCATTTGCTATGAAGTTTAAACCGCGTTCATCTGATAATCTGACTGGTTGAATCACAGCAAGTAGAACACTTATCTGTTAGTGATGTGGTCATATGAAGACATCCTCAAGAAGCTGTTTTTTCTACAGACTAAACTAGACAGCCAGGCTGACCCAGTCTATAGTGTGTCCAGGAAAGTAAAGGCGACGGGCCTGATCTTGGCATTTTCAAACACGACATGACGACTGGTCTACAAAAAATGCGCCCTGTGTTGGTCCTATGTGTCAGATGTTCCATACAGAATATATATGGCCATTCCGGTTAACAAAAAAGGGTTTGCTTGAATGAACTCGTGTTCTCTTAGACACATTTCCTGTGATATCCGCAACTGAAACTGTCGACCTGAAGAATTGGGCCATGAAAAAAGTCAACAAATGTATGCTACGCGGCGGCCATAGTTATTGAACAAAAATAACCCACCCGTAAACTGCATGCCTTTTCTGTATAAACAGTTGGTGGTACGTGGATGTGAATAAGTGGTTTACTAAGGTGAAATGTTTTTTTCCTACGTTCATGCTTAACCATCTTTGAACTTTTTTGGATTATAAATTAGTATACATCTGTGGTGTGTGTATGTAATGGAAGTATAAGCTGTTATGATAGATTCGATATATAGCAGTTTATGGAGAGAACTAAACACATTTAGTCGAGTCAGCTGGTAAGGAAAAGACGCTGACGCTGGAAATAAAAACAATGAATAATTTAACGAGTGTGCTCTTTAGATTGGTGAAGAAAATTATGAGATATGAAGCGAGTTGAAAATGAAAGACTGAAATGTAAATTATACCAAAGACGCAAAGACAGATAAGGGGAATAAATTGATCATCATCATGCAGCAAGTCCTTCGCAGAAAGTCGCTCTCATCACGGTCTGCCTGAAAGAAACTCGGTGTCACACCAGCTACCCTGATTCATGTACTTTCATACTCAAGGAGCTACTTATATGATGTGCCCATCTTTGTATTAGTCGGCCGCTGCCTCTCCTTTCTGGTACCATGCTTTCTGCTATAATTTTTCCAATCCGTCGTAGTGCTTGATATGACCAAAATATTTCAGCTTCTGAGACAGGATGCTGTTTATTAGCCAACCTTCCTTGATGTTCAGATCTTTTGTCGTTATTTCTCCTCTTCTTTGTCCAAGATATTCTGAGAATCTTTCTATAGCATTTCAGCTCAAAAGTCCCTATTCTATTTCCTAAGGATGGGAAAAAGTCCACGACTCACATCCGTATGTTGCTATATGGAAGATGCATGCCCTTAGCTTTCTATTGTTGATCTCCTTGCTTAACCATATACTTTTTAGCCTGTTTAATTTAAATTATTATGAATTTTACATGTACCTCCCCCAGCCCCCAGTATTGTATTTATAATTTGACTGCTTGACATAAAGCATGCCCTATCTTCTTCTGCATGTGTCCTAAAAAGTACGGTTGGCAAGTTGTGGTTTACAGCTAGTCTTCGATATCTGCGCCTATCAACCAATAACACCCGATATCACAAATGTTTATAAGTCGCTTTCGCGACATGTCTCTTAGGGCGCAACGGAACTACCCCCCCCTCCCCCCTCTCCCGCATTACAAAATGGGATCACGCAAACCACACGAGGACGTATTATTTCCACTTCTTCTGAGAGTCCATACGGTGAGGTATTTCTCTATCCACGACCTTCTGACACAGTTGATT